GGGGCAAGGGGCAGCAGGGCTGGGGGGCAGGGGCTTTGGGTGAGGGGGGCAATGGGCACAAGCAGGGCATCCTACCGTGTACCCCTTGCCCTCATTTTGTTTTTCTGGCATGCCGGCCCTCCGGCACCTTCCAATATAAAAATTGTCGGGGGTTTTGGCACTCCGGCCAAAAAACATTGCCTACCCCTGCTCTAGAGACAGTGGCCTTGGTGACTACACAATCCCAATTTATTCCATAACTCTTGTGAACTGAATGAGGCAGGGGTCCAGCAGAAAAAAGTAGCATGTTATCATATAAGTAAAGACTATATCAGTGCACACAAATAAGCGAATGTAGTAAGGGTACCTGGTCTCCTTTTAATTTTGCATTTCCTAACTTTTCAGTGCTTTATTTTGCAACCTAAGATTCTTTTAATGTTCTTTTTTGCATGTAATATTATATCTTCATTTTAATTAGATGTTGCTAATCAATTTAGAACTAAAAGGAAAAAGAAATGTAGAGACAGGATTTCTTGGCTAGTGGACTGACTGAAAATGAATGAAAATCTGAGTGAACGCAATCAGTAACAGCAGGACCTTTGCAGGGATCTGTTCATGGAGACCTCTGCACCCATGCAAAATGCTATGATCCAGTGGTAACGTGTAGGGGGTGCACCCCCGACAGTGCTGGTGCACCCCCTGTCAGGCCACACTCCCTGTTTAGGTGACAGGCAGGGGGGCAGGCGTGAGCACCAGTGCCTGCCCCATGAGTGCCGGCCGGGGAGCAGGGCCACCAGCAAAAGCAGCCGCGCCACTTCTGAAAGTGCTCGCTGACTGGGGGGGGGCACATGCCCCCCTTACTCAAGAGGCACCAGTCGCCCATGCAATGATCTACGTTACAATTCTTCCTGGGAGACTCCATGGCTGCTCCTAGCAGTTGCTGAGGGATTGGGGCCTATGCTGGAGGGAAGTTTCTAAAGAGAACTATTTTCTTCTATCAAAAATGCTTTGCTGTATCATCTCGTATCATGTACACCACTATCTGCAGGACTAGTATATCATTAAAGGGGAGGACAACACATCACTAGATCACTGGTGACATTGCTATTATCTGGTCAAAAATATATAACGCTGGCTACTCAAGAAACTTAACATTTATTTAACTATGGCTTACATTTTCAG